TTATCTTTGACAGCTCTGCTTAACGTATCAATTCTGTGGTTGGAATGATTTGGAGTCTTCTGAAAACCCTGTATGTTTTTCTCAAACAAAGATGACCCATTTATAAAAATGAGCATTAACAGCTGACACATTGCACATAGAAAGGATTGCTGTTTTAGTCCTTCAAAGTCTTCCATAAGAATGAAACAATTTCACCTCATTTTATTTTTTATTTATTTTTTACCTCATTTTAAAAGTTTATTGGTCTAAGAAAGTTTACATGGAAATCTGAAATTTACAATTCTTAAAAGTCCTGAAATTGTTTGAAAAACCCATTTAAATTCCTTAACAAAACTAACCAACAAAGTAAGACAGTTTCAATCTTAGCTTGGTTTTAGTCTCCATATGAATGTTCTCCATCTGAATATCTTGGCAGATTCTATTGGACACACCTCAAAGTCTTCAGTGTTGGGAGAAAAATACCCCAGGACCCCACCCACTGCCCACATAAATTTTCCAGTGTAGGCTTAAACCACACAAGTGGTTCCAGAATCATCATGTAGGACACAGTCATAACCAAAGTCCCAGAATAGTCTTAGACCAACCTAACTGTCGGAATGGGCCAAAGAATAGGGTTCTTTTAACTCTACAGCAAGCACTCTCCTTGTCTCCCTAACTCATTTCCCAACAGTCACAGCACAAACCCAAGCTGTAAACAACACCCCCAAACCAGGTTAGACACTGACATTAGAAAAATAAGGCAATATTCAAAGGAGTATTTTTAAATAGCGTTGCTCAGCCAGACACCAGTGTCCCAAGCCTGTAATCCTAGCCAGTACTAAGAAGGCTGTGAGTTCAAAGCCAGACAGGGTACTGTGGTTCAAAGTTAGTCTCAGGGCAGAAAAGAAGTCCTCTAGACTTCATGTTCAAAAATAATAAACAAAAATCAAGGCTGGCTCGAATGGAACAGTGCTGAGTGAGCAAGCCAAGCAATGTGCAAAGTGAGTTGAAACCCGACAGTACCTTTAGATGGTATAGATAAGATAGATTAGCATAGTGTTTACTAATTGAAAAGTCTACAAATTGGGGTTCTAAATTCTATGGTAGGCCAAACTACTCTCTAAAAAGGAAGTATACAATTTAATATACAATAAAAAGGACGATACAATTTAGATACAAGGTCCAGTAACAAGAAAGAAAAAAATTGAAACACTTTGAGATGTTCTACTGCATTTTCTGTCTCCCAAATTTAACTCAGGTATCAACTTTCTGATTGGGCCAATTAAAAATAAAAGCATCAACTTTTCAAATGTTTTCTATCATTTCTCAAATAAAAGGCCAGTTGGAATCTGATATATACAATGAAGAATCAACATTTTTCTCCAAGGATAATTAGTTTTAGAAGCTGTAAATTTAGACTCTTCATCAGTAATGATCTAGTAGAATAGAATACAAATGATGACAGACTCATCTCTAGCCAAAACATTTTTTAAGTTTTTGTTTGAAGTCATTACTTAGGAAGTTCTAATCGATGAATGCTATACTAGAAGGGTACTGAGTGAGGTATCTAGGTTCTATCTAGTTCAAGAGAGATAATTACATGAATTTAAACAAGTCACATTCATATCCAGAATTTAAGTGTCTTCAACTTTAAAATGAAGGAATTAAGTAAGTTCGTTTTCTGTTTAAAATTTGAAGATTTAAAAATGACTTTTCAGATGAAAACATTCCCCCGGGACCTGATGCTTTTAAAAAGACTGTATTCCATTTATAAAAGGCTTTAAAATTTAAAATTGCTAGGTGTGGTAAAACATGCCTAAAATTTCAGCACTCTAGAGGCTGAGGCAGAAGGTTGGAGTATAGTCTGAGCCACAGAGCAAGTTCCAGGGTAACCTGTAAACCTGTACTAACTATATAGCAAAACCCTGTCTCAAAAAAAAATTTTTTTTTTTACATTTATTCAGTAACATTGTAGGATACATGTTAGCATCAACACTATTGTGTTATTTCACTAAACAAACATATGTCCAGAGCAGAACTAGAAACAGTTCTCAATTAGATTCCACTTATGGTGACCTTGGTCTGATTTCTAATCTTATATTCTCTCAGTTGTTGCAAGCACTATGTTTAGCAACAATTATTTTAAGTGTGAGGTAAAAGCAATAACACTGGACATTAAGTCAGATTTTGATAACTTGTAATCACTCTTTTCAACCGTAAAAGATACAATAATACCTATCTTTGGGGCTATTGTTAGACTGGGCATGAAGGGGGAACATGCCAAAAGCAACATTTTTGAAAAGTCTACAGATATGACATCACTGCATTAACTGAAGTCCTTACTGGAACTGTCAGAGCCGCCACCATATAGAGCTCCTTTACCTTCTGTGGGTCTACTTTTGGACTTGAAGTACTACAGATATATTTTATCATTTTTGTCCATATAAGCAGCTTTTTCAGGGAATTGTAAATGTGCCTTGTTCCCATAAAAGCAACATGCAGGGGTTGGGAAGGGGCTGGGAAGGCTCAGTGGTAGAGTGCTTGCCTTGCATGTATAAGGCCCTGGGTTCGATTCCTTAGCACATAAGCAGAAAAAGCCAGAAGTGGTGCTGTGGCTCAAGTGGTAGAGCATTAGCCTTGAGCTGAAGAGCTGAGGAACAGTACCCAGGCCCAGAGTCCAGGCCACACAACTGGCAAAAAAAAAAAAAAAAAAGCATGCACTACTACATCATAGAGATCTGGAATTCCTAATCTATGTGCATGTACCTGTGCACATGTGTGTATGTGTGTGCCAGTCCTGGGACTTGAATTAAGAGCTTGAGTGTTTTTGCTCAACCATTTGAACCACAAGTCTACTCCCAGCTTTTTGTTAGAGATAAGAGTCTCACAGATTTTCCTGCCAGGGAGGCTCTGAACTATAATCCTCAGATCTCAGCCTCCTGAGTAACTAGAATTACTGGCATGAGCCACCAGTGCCCACATTAAATTCCTAATTTTGCACAAAGCTATTTTCTTGATTCCACTTCCTCAGTCCAAAAAAAAAAATGTAGCTTCTGCTTTTGATAATGCTTGAAATTTTTGTTTTTTGAGCTATGTCACTGTAGCTCAAGACTCTAATGCCTGGAGACAAAAATGAATTTACTTCACTATTAGTCATGTACCCTTGCAAAATATGGCCAAAGTTTGCGTCAACTTTTAAATAAACAATCACTCAACCCCCACATTAAAAGACAAGTTCTGTTGACACATGTTTAATAGCAGAAGCTTTAGATTTGGAAGTAGACAGAAAATGATAGCCAATGAAAATTGAATGCATACAGAGAATGTGTTTAGCATACACAGGGCACCGGTTTAATCCTGAAGAGACATACACACAAATCTGAATCCATAAAAGAACACATTCTTAAGATAGAAAACTTTTACTATGCTGGATATGGTGGCTCAAGCCTGTATAATCTTAGTTACTTGGGGAGTTTATGGTTCAACATCGAAAAACTCCATCTCAACCAATGTCTGGGCGTGGTCACGTGCCTGTAATCTTAGCTAGGAAGAAAGCACAATGTCTAGGCAAAATGGGGCTTGCCATGTTTGGCAACATCTAGAAACACAAAGAGGAGGATCACTCGCCATGTTGGCCTACATCAAAAACAGGCAATACAAAAGAGACTGGGAGTGGTAGAGTGCCCAGAGTGAGGCCCTGAGGTCAAGTCTAAGTACCATCACCACCAAAAAAAAAAAAAGGAAGAAAAACACACTTGACCAACATACTTAATTAGCAGTAGTCTGTGAGGATGGGAATGAAAATAGGAATGAAAAAAGGAGGCACTAATTTTTGACATAACACCATCATCCTCACACATCCTAAAATACCACTAACTTTAAAAGCTAGATTTATATTCCTCACAGTAATTTACTGTGAAACTTCCCCATGTGAGTCCCCTTATTTCAGCACCTGAGTTTCTCCTTCTGCATAATAAGACAAGCACAGACAAGTACAGAATTATGCTATTTAAGAGAAATTGAGCAAGCTCGGCACCCCTGCATCTTACATCAACTGAAGGGTTATTTGTGAAACTATCTCTTAAATGTGTCAAAATTGCCCCTAAGAAGCTGTTAAATTACCAGAACTTAGTCCTCTGGAGTTCAGTGCCAACTTTCTCTTCATATGAAGAATAAGGTCTAATTTAAAAGAACCATCCCAAAATACAGGATAAATACAGTAATGCATCTCTTCACAAATAAATCTGCATAATGTAAATGTCCAATGGAGGGTACATGCAGAAAGTAGGCAAGCCCATTACCTTAACACCATGAGCCAATAACTGAATAAATAAATACCCTTCAAAACCCTGGATGTAGGACTGGGGGAGCACCTTGTTTTATTGTTTTCATTAGACATCTGCTATCTTACCTATTTCATCTCAGTTAGATTCTCAGATACAAGTAGGTAAACAGATGGTACCTTCCAGAACCAGAGTACTAATTCCGGTTACAGGCAAACATTTTAGGGACATAAAATTTCACAACTCGGGGCAATCAACATGCACATCAAGGGAGGAACCAACTTCACCCATCTGCCCATGTCCAATAATGAAGTTCTCTCAGAAGGCATGGCACGCAAGCAGGGACACACACTGTGCGTGTGTCCCTGGGGACCAGAGTCTGTAGGTGGGATGGAGGAAGCAGGGGGAGGATGCGTTTTTCATAAGAAATCTGCTACACACACACACACACACACACACACACACAGAGGCTTCAAACCCTACAAGCCGTAGCGAGGGTCACCTCAATCAAGCAGTGACTATCAGGGCAGCGCCATGTGCCACCGACCCCAAAACTTCCGAGAAATGTAGAAATGCCCTAATTAAAAAAAAAAAGTGTAGTGCGGACCTCCAACAAGAGGGGGGCAAGTGGCAAAGGGGGGCTTCCCAACCACCCAAGAGACAGGCGACAGTCCTTGCGGCGTTCCAGACGCTCATATCCAGGCGAGGGTGCAGGGTGAGAGGGCGCCGGCTCCTTACCTGACAGACGTCATGGCTTCACCTTCCGGCCACCGATGCTCCGCGTCAGCCCGGTCAGCGGCAGGTACCACAGCAACTGCTGCTCCGCACAGGCTCTCCGCGGCGGCCGGGAGCGCGTCCTCACACACCCCGCGCGCGCGGGCGGCCCCTGGCGAGCGGGCTCCGCGCGCTGATTGGCGGCGGCCGGAGGGAGGGAGGACGCCCCGCCCCCGGCCGACGGCCAGAGTTCGGCCCGCGCGTTCCACCCTGCACTCCGGGCCCTCGGCGTGTAGCCCGAGTGTGGCTCGTGCGGCTCGGGACTGATGAGCGGGGTAGCTGACGAGCCGGCGGGCGCGGTGGCCATCTTGAATCCCGGTGACCGCATCTCCCCCCCCCAACTCCGACCCCCAAATCCAGGCTCCCCGGGGCACGAGGTCTGGGTGCCCGCCTCAAAAATGGCCGCGCCGCTGGCAACGGGTTTCGTAGTCACGTGGCCGTGGTCTGCCAGGGACAGAGCTCCGGTCTCTTTAACGGCACTCCGGAGAGGGACGCTGTCAAGGCAAATCCCGGATGGGGTTTAATGGGCTGCAATTTAAAAACCCATTGCTGAGGAAAAGCCGCCGCCTGGGAGAAACAGCCGGCGCGTGGCCGCGGCGCGGACGGGCGGCTTTCCAGCGTGTCTGGGAGTCGGCCGCAGGGTGGAGGGTCCCAAATTGGCTTGAACTTGCCAAACACCTGAAGCAGCTCAGTCAACGTGGCGCTGCCCGGGGTCCGCGCCAGGCAATCTAGGTAGGTGAGGCCCGGTCATTGCAGTTTTAGGGTGCTGCCGTGTGTTCAGAGGACACATATAAAGTTTTACACTCCCAAGTCCAAAACTGCACTACTCCACTGTCCTGTTTGCACACTTGTCAAAATGCCTCCCTCGAAATATGCAAGCTAGTCAGGCGATGCCTGTAATCCTAGCTACTCAGAAGGCTGTGACCTGTGAGTGTCGCGGGTTCAAGGCCAAAAAAGCCAGAAGTGGAGTTGTGACTCAAGTAATAGAGAACTAGTTTGGGGCAAAAGAAGCTCAAGGATAGTGCCCAGATCCCGAGTTCAAGCCCCAGGGCTTGGGCATGCAGACATGCAGATATGCAAAGTATGAAACAAGGGTTTAAGACTAGGGGGAAAAGATTGGAAGGTACCCTTAAACCTCTAACTAAATCTGACAGGTAAGTGGGCTACAGGGCTAAGAAATCAATAATGAACCACTAAATATAAATGGAATTAAGAATTTAACTTCGAAAGTGTGGGAAAACTGGAAGGGAAATGAGTAAATGCATTATGTCCCAAATAACTTTTCTTTATCCTTCCTGTAATCTCTGTATAATAGTATTTATATAAGCAGACAACCTCAAGGGCCATTCTTTTACTGACATTTAGGATGGTGATTAATTTCATTGATCTCAAATACATCAAAAACCTATACAATAACATTAAAAAGTGGCTGATGGGCCTACAGAATTGAACTTCCTGTTTTTTTTAATGTTAAAACTGAAGCAAAGAGAAGGACATGGGCAGTTTCTTTTTGTCATGTCCTTCATCCCACCTTCCCCACCACCAGGAAGGTCACTGAAACTAGACATTTTCTTCCTTCCAAAAAGTCACAATAACTAAAGACACCTTTGCCTTGTGGAGCTGATCATAAAGTTCTCTGACCTACTTTTATTTGGACATCATTAAGACTTTCAGAAATGGTCTTAACCCATACTAGGAAGGAAGGAATGCTGAGAGAGGATAAGAAAGAATCCAAACAAACACATCTTCCTGAATTTCCCCAGTCTGTTAGCATTGGATCATACACTTTTGTCCAATCACCCTCCTTTATAGCTTATTTGAACAGAAGAACTGAAAATAGCTCACCCTGAGTCTTTGGTCTTCATTCTGAAGGCTTCATTATCTAAAACTATGATCAAATAAATACATTATACTTTCTCTTGTTAACCTATGTTTTGTTGTAGGAGTATTGGTCTTGACCCTAAGCAGGAACAGGATATCCCCCTTTTCCTCTCCTACATGCCATTAAAGACAATGTTATTGTTTCAGTTGGGCTACAATTTCACTTTTTGTTTTTTGGTTTGGTTTTGTAATGCTGAGGATTGAACCCAGGGCTTCCCACATGCTAAGTACCCACTTTACTACTCAATTACATCCCAGCTACATTTTTTGTAGGGAAGGGCTGTATTGGGGTTTGAATTAAGAGACTTGACTTGCTATGAAAACACTTTACTACTTAAGCCAAGCCCCCAGCCCTAGATTTCACTAAATATTTATTTATTTATTTATTTGTCAGTCATGGGCTTAAACTCTGGGCCTGGTCTGCTGTCCCTCTGCTAGCACTCTACCACTTGAGCCACTGTACCACTTCCGGTTTTCTGGTGGTTTATTGAAGAGTCTCAAGGACTTTCCTGCCTGGGCTGGTTTTGAACCGTGATCCTCATATCTCAGCCTCCTGAGTAGCTAGGATTACAGACATCAGCCACCTATGCCCGGCCATTTCACTAAATTTTTAACCATTGATAATTTAGTATCCAAACCAATACAATGTATGTGTAAAATTAATAGACTTTTCTGAACCTATACAAAAAAATATAGATAGTATCTCAGTAAAAATTTTATATTGAGTATATGTTGAAATGATATTTTAAATATATTGAGTTAGAATTTTTTTAATTAAAATTAATTTCATCTGTTACTTTCCTAATGTAACTGCTAGAAAATTTTGAATTATATGAGTACTGCATTACATTTCTATACACTGGACTGTATCATTGCCTCTGTGACAGAAAGCCACACCATCATATTCAAATATGAAATTAGTAAGAAAGCCAGTTTGTACAAGTCTTTTCCTTGTCCAAAACTCAAGATTTCAACTTTCCTTATGAATTGTTACTTTTAGCCTCCTCTTTTTTAGAGGGAGGGTTTTGTTGTTGTTGTTTAGATATTATGGATTTAACTTGCATGCTAGACAAATGCTGACCTACATTGGTAGCCCATTCTTGTTCTCTTTAATTTGGTAAGTACCTAACTAGAATGAAGCCATGTACTCAGACCATGAGTAAAAGGCTGTTAAAAACACTGAGCTCATGGACTGGGAATGTGGCTTAGTGGTAGAGTGCTTGCCTAGCATGCATGAAGCCCTGAGTTCGATTCCTCAGTACCACATAAAAACAGAAAAGGCTGGAAGTGGCTCAAGTGATAAGCACAGAGAAGCTCAGGGACAGTGTCCAGGCCCTGAGTTCAAACCCCAAGACTGGCAAAGAAAACAACACTGAGCTCAGTCACGTGCCAGTGGCTCACGCCTGTAATCCTAGCTATCTGAGGATCACTGTTCAAATCCAGGCTGGGCAGGAAAGTCCATGAGATCTTATCTCCAATAAACCACCAGAAGTGGCACTATAGCTCAAGTGGTACAACACTTGCCTTGAGCTGAAGAGCTCAGGGACAGCGCCAGTCCCAGAGTTCAAGCCCCATGACCAGCAAAAAAAAAAACCTCACTGAGCTCTAAAGCTGGTGTACTGAGAATCTCACTGACCACCAGCAGCATTAGTCAACTGTTCCTCTGGGTTAAAATGAATCCAAAACAAAGAAGCAGCTGGAAAGCAAGTTAGTGTGGTAGAAACTGACTAATTCAAGTTTCCCTCTTGTTGAGAAAATATGAATAATCTAGATGGACTAAAATCAAACCAATGTTTACAATTTAGAATTTAATATAATTTTTAGTAAAGGAGCACAGTATAGTATAAAGCAGAACTTTTCAGGCTTTCATATGCATAAATGAATTGTGGGAATCTTTGTTTAAAGGACAGTTTTTACTCAGTAGTTCTCAGTGGCCAAAATTGTGTGCTTATTTATGTTCCCAGGCTTCACCACTTCCTTCTCATCTGTGTTCTTGAGTAGCAAGGTTGTAAAAGTAGGAAGACAGACCTGATTTGAGATTCCTACTTTACTTCATGATGGCTGTGTGACTGTGAGCTAGTTCATAACTTGTCTGTCCCCAAATTTAACCAGCTTTTAACGTACTTTTCAGAGCATGGTGAAGGTTAAAATTCAATAAATTGTAGTAAAGTGTCTGTGTAATGGACACAATATCAATTAGTTTAAATTATATCTCTGGGAATCATGACACTAACATTCATATAAACTTGGTGCCAAAATGAAGTATGCTTTTGTTCACACTTAACATATTTTGGTGAAATAATTAACCATTTCTTTATTTATGCCAGTTCTGAGGCTTGAACTCAGGACTTCACTCTCTCACTGGGCTTGCTTGTTCATGGCTGGTGCTCTACCACTTGAGCAAAACCTCTCACCCAGCATTTTTGCTAGTTAATAGGAGATGGAGTCTCCAGGATTTTTCTGCCCAGGTTGGTTCCAAACCTTGATCCTAGATCTAAGCTTCTGTATAAATAGGATAAGCATGAACCACCAGTACCCATCTATACTATTAGGTTTTAGAATTAAGATTTTTCTTTAAAGAAAGACTCAAGATATATATATACATATATATATATATATATATATATATATATATATATATATATATATATATATATATGATAGAGCATTTGCTGAGGCTGTGTAAAGCCCTGGGTCTCAGCCCTAGCACTGTAAAAATAAATGCATATTTTTAAATCCTAATTTTAATACCAAGCAACTATGCTTATTATTTTTAGTAAATGCACTATATTTCATATCATGAGTAAACATATGGCTCTACATTATTCAAATACTTAGTGAACTTAAGGCCACACCATCATATTTAAAAATTAAAAGAAAAATTATTGGTGACACAGCATCAAACCTAATCAAAACTTTAAAGAAAAAACAAAAAATAAAAACTTAGCCAGGCACTGGTGGCTCATGCCTATAATCCCAACTACTCAAGAGGCTGAGACCTGAGGAAAATGGTTCAAAGCTAGCCCAGGCAGGAAAGTCCATGAAGACTCTTATCTCCCAATTATCCAACCAAAAGCCAGAAATAGAGCTGTGACTCAAGTGGTAGAGTGCTAGTCTTGAATAAAAAAGCTCAGACACTGTGCTCAGGCCCTGAATTCAACCCCTTAAGATATATTTACATACAGAAATTCTTAAAATTTGTCTCCTTGAATTGAATTCAGGAACCCTGAAATATGGAGATGAGAACTGTAATCTTGTACCTAACAATAACTTTCTGACCCTAAAAAAAAATCATTACCTCTTTGATGAACAGCTTCCTTATATGAAACACAGTGGAGTTAGTTACAGGTGCTCTCTGAAGTCTGTTTCAGATCTTATTAGGTAATGGAAGAAAAACTAATTTGCTTCAATAAAGACTGGATTGTAGCCGGGCATTAGTGGCTCATGCCTATAATACTAGTACTCAGCAGGCTGAGATCTGAGGATCAAGGTTAAAAGCCAGCCCGGGCAAGAAAGTCCATGAGACTCTTATCTCCAATAAACCACCAGAAAACAGGAAGTGGCACTGTGGCTCAAGTAGTAGAGCGCTAGCCCTGAGCTGAAGAGCTGAGGG